GCTCCACACTGTCCCCGATCAAATGCAAACTCCTTAGCTTAGCAACTCAGGTGCCCACAACTCACTCCTGAGACCGAGGCAACCGCGCTCGCTCCGTCTCCGCTGTGGGTGGTCCCCAAAATCACAAGGCTGACCTTTCCTGGGCTTTGCTTTTGTTCCAGGCCCCTGCCTGGAGTGGTCACTCCTCAACTGCACCCCATCCTATCCTCTCTGCCCAGCAAGGGCTCCTGGGACTTCACACCCAGCCCCCAAGCTGCCTGTGAGCTGGAGTGGTCTGCAGGGCTGTGCAGGTGGCAGAATGCAAGCCAAGCATGCAGGGATGGGCAGACTTACAGCCCTTGTTAAGCCTTTTCTATACTACTTCCTTCCTGCTATACTTAACCTTTGAGACGCATTCTGCCTCCCCTTCTAGATTAGAGGACAGGGATATGGCTTCTGTTTGTGTTCCTTACTCTGCAGTGTGCAGAATAAGACAAATAGTAATCAAAGCTACTACTTACTGTGTGCCAAGCCCTGGATTAAGGACATCAGAAATTCCATTTCTTTCTCCTGGCATCCCTGTAAAACGTCATCCTTATGGTACAGGTCAAGATACTGGGGCCGAGGAAGATTAGATAGATGCTTACTTAAGGTCACATACTGAGTGGCAGAGACAGCACTCCAACCCAGACCTGCGCAACTCCCAGCTCCATGTTCTGTAGAGCAGGCAGCAAACAAAAGGCAGCCCCTCTCAGCTCTTACCACGCACTCACTCAGTGTTTACGAAGCGCCCATTAAGTGCCAGGCAGCCAGTGCAAGGTGTGGGGTGGTTAGCGGGAACCAGAGAGACAAGGTCCCTGCTCTCATGGAGCTCACACTCTGGCCCCAGGCCTGCCCCTCTTCTTCCAAGCCTGGAAGAGGGCAAGGACTCTCAGTTCTTCAGGGGCTCCACCGAGCACAGACAAGGCATCCAGAGCTGAGATTACAGCCTCGGGCCATGCGGTGTGCCGAGCACACTGCACAGGGGGCCTCGTGTTCTGCGTGAAGTCCAGCCTCAAGCTCTATTAGGGAAGCTCTTCATTCAAGGCACAGCCCAAAGCCAAGCAGACTTCAAATAGCCTTCAGCAGGCAGTGAGGATGGAAACTGGCCTAGCTCTTGAGTCAGAAAACTCAGTTCCTCCACTTAGCAGCTGGAGAGAGACTAACCACACACCCCTATGAACCTCATCTGTAAAATGGCGATAATAATAATAGCTAGTATTTATATAATTCTGTGCCAGATGCTGTTTGAGGCACTTGACACGTATTATCTCATTTAATCTCCTAACAGCCTTATGAAGAGCTACTGTTATTATCCCAAGGCAGCCTGGTTCCTAAATCCTAACTTACACTATGCTGCCTCCCTCCTAAGGCTGAACTTCCTGGTCGGGCTGTCGTGAGGAGGATCCAGTGGGCTAAAGCCCCTGGCGGAGTGCATGGCACATGGGTGGTGCCATATAAACGTTCAGTCTCCAACTCTAACACTGAAACAAGTAAAAGATTAGGTCTGGAAATGGCATTGCCCCAGCCGATCCTAACATGGGTGATTTTGCAATTGCATCCTCTGGGCTTCCACACCCCACTCTCACTGGTGGGATCTGCTGCAAGCAGGGACGAGAGCCTGTACTTACGGGCCCTACTGCCCACTGCCTCTGACAAACAGTTAAGCATCCGGCACAGGAGTCAGGTGGACCCAAATTCGAATGCCAGGCCTGCCACGCACAGCAGTCACTCAACCTCTCCAGCTTCAGGTGCCTCGTAAGAAGAACGAGGGATGAGGTAGAATCTAAGCCACGTGTCTGGATCCCAGTAGATCTTCAATCAACGGTAGCTACCCAGTAAAAAGGGCAGAACTTCCGTGGCACCACAAGCGGCGCTGCAAGGTTATATTCCTGGGTGGGAGAGCTGCCGGTGTGCAAAGGAACAGACTGTGCATGCAGTGCGATTCAGTTCCACGGTGATGGCAGGGACAAGAGCAGGCACACTCCGACAGGTGTGGGAGTGAAGCCTGGCACAAGCCCCAACTTTCTCTTAAGTCTCCTGCCATATCGCATACAAATGTGCTTGCAGTTATATTAAATAGAGCCCTCCCTCCTTAAACTTTAGTTAAAAGTGACATGCCCCCACTCAACAATGTAAGCGGTGAGGGCAAGAACCCTTGTGTACCTTGCTCACCACTGCATCTCAGTACATAAAGCAGCACAGAGAAGGCACTAACAAATACACACTGAATTTATGTTACCCCGTAGCTCCAGGTACCCTCTAAGGCATCTCTGTATTTGGCTAATGGTAAGCATTTCCCAGCCTGGGAAGCAGGAGTCTCAGTGGTCAATGTACCTGCCCAGCCACCACGTCTCTCTGCCATCAGTCATCTGTCCTCTTCTCTCCCCCACAAAAGTATAGGACTTCCGAGTTATAAATAGGAATATCTGCTTTCAAACGTATGATTTATCCTCTACTTAATCACAAGCTATTGATCCTTGGCTACTTTTTTCAAGAATTCCACCAAAGAGAGGCCAGTGGGGTTTAAACGAACAGGGCTGTATATACATGTGGGTTCTGAGCTGAGCTATGTATCTCACCCACATCAGGAGACCAGCCAAAACACATTAGTGTCAACTACATTGTTTCACCTTGTAACAATTTGACAGGCTTCTCCCGTCAGCTCCTGTCAGGCAAAACCATCTGTAAGCTGGACAGACAACTCATGAGGGCGCCTCGCCTGTTCCTTCACAGCTACAGCCCCACCATCATCACCAGAATCCTAAGTCTAAGGCAGAAGAATAACTCCTAAGTTGGAAGCTACAGCAGTGTAAGGAGAAGTGCTTTGAAACTGTAAAGCACTTATAGACAGTGCTAAGATTATTATCTGCTAAGGGAAAGCAAATAAATTCTATTTGCCTATGCATTCTTAACTGATGCCAATAAAAATCATGGAATTTACTCCAAAGTCCAGGGCATTTTAGATTCTCAAGCCACTATTTCCCTCCATGGATAACTAAGATCTGTTTTCTCTACCATCAAACCTACCTAAAATAAAACCCACAGTGGTCTTAATTCATTTTCTTATGATGCAACCCCACGCCACCACTTCTGTCCTACCCCAACAGTCGACACTGGTCTCTTGGAGTACTCAAGTAGGGGCTAAATTTGACAATAAGCAGTCAGAAATGACTTATAAGCCTAGGGGATACTAACAACAAGTTATTGAGAGAATGAGTATGAAATCCAAGTGGCTGAGTTCATGAACACAGACACACCCCAAAAGAGAGCACTCTGAGCGACCTCCTTCAGTGCCAGGTGCTGTTCTAGGGCCCCAAGGACGCAGCCGTGGAAACACAAGACAAAAACCCCTGCCCTCGGAAGAGTGCACGTTCTGGCCCACGCTGAATGTCTGCATCACCATACTCCATTTCACTATTAACGAGATTCCCTATGCAAAGGACTCAGCACACGATTGGTAGTCAATAAATGCTGCTCCTCCCTTGCCATCTCTGAGTACCTCATTACAATCACACACCATATAACAACATCTGGGTCAACCAAGGACCACGCAGACGACGGCGGTCCCATAAGATTAGTACCATGTAGCCTAGGTGTGTGGTAGGCATATCACTCAGGTTTGTGTAAGGACACTCTATGACGTTCGCACAACGACAAAATTGCCTAACGACACATTTCTCACACTGCATCCCCATCGTTAAGTGACGCATGAGTGTATTAGGTTTTCTGAACAGTGTCCTTTATGTCTTCCAACATAGAAACAGCCTGGCACAACGTGAAGGACCAAGTTTAGAGGCTGCCAGTTGTGCTTCCACTGACTGAGCAACACCTTAAGTTACTGCACCCCCAGAGCCTCAGCTTCCTCACCTATAAAATGGGGACAGCAACCACCTCAAAGCACTGTGTGTGGATTAAATGAGCTCACACAGGGAAGGGCACAGCACAGTGCCTGGCACCCAGTAGCCCCTCAAGAAATGTTAGCCCTTTTCCTCCACCCCTCCCACAGTCCTTTCAGATTACCCAAGTAAGACCCCAAAACAGGACTCTTGAGAAGCCTCATGTGTCATCGTTCTCCTCCTGGGTCACTGCCGGCATTTTCCCATCATATTTGGAGAATCAGGCAGGCAAGGCCAAGGCAAGACGTCCTCCTCGCCAGACCTCCTTGAGCAGCCCCACCTGGCCACCCCACGGCCTCCTCTGCTTTTGCCCTGAGAGCAAATTTACAAAATCTCACTCCACTTTTAAAGTCCTCACCCAAAACTGTCCTGGAGAAGTCTTTCCCCACCCAGGCCTGAGGCTGGGCCACCCCCTCCATGCAGCCCGTTCTCAGCTGCCGGACTTCTCCAACAGCACTGACAACAGCACTGGCCGTGTTTTTAATCAAGATACAGGAAGGCATCAAGAAAAAACGTGGCCTGTCTGAATTAGTCACCCTAGGTCAGCAGCAACATCCCTTCACTAAACAAGGAACTTAGATTCTCAAAATCCTTTGGGGCTCAAAGTCCACATGCAAACATCTGCCTGCACTGGGTGGAGGAGCAGGCGGAAGGCCTGAGCTGTGTCAGTCCACTCTCCAAAGGTTCCCCGGCTGTGTGAGGCAGAAGTCTTCTGGTCATTCCAAAGTGGGTGCTGGCCTGCCCTGCAGAAGGTTCCAAGGTGGATAGGAGGGCAGGCTCACGTGTGGGGCCTACGGGAAACCTCAGGCCAGTCAGAACACCTGCCTTCATTACCAAAACAAACACCACGAGCGAAGCTAGCTCTCTCCCTCCAAGCTAGCTGTCTCCCTCTGAGTCTGGCTCACCTGACCCGAGCCACGTCCATAACCAGCAGTTCCAACCTTCACGAGCTGACAGTTCAGGGGGAAAGGGAGGTTGCGCCTGTAGGGTTGCATCGTATCCTGGCCGTATGGTGGCCTCGGGGCCTAGTGGTCCCCCCCAAGGGCTGCGGCCTCACAAGGGCGATTGTGCGTTCATCCCTGTCCTGTCCGCTCCCCCACCCTCACCCCTCCGCCCCCACTCAGGCCCCGGCGCCAAGGAAACCGGCCGCCCCGCAAGCACCGCACTGGCGGCACGGAGGCGGCGGCCGGGAAAGGCCCCGCAGAGCGCCGCGCTGCCTTCCGGGCACACAGATGCCCGCCCTTCCCTCGCTCGCTCCGAGGCGCCTCCCCAGAAAGGGCAACCCTCAGACCTGAGAAGGCACAGCCTCCGGGACCACCCCCACCGGGCTAGAGAGCGCCTCTAGCTTCCCAGAGGCGGCAAAGAAGGTTCGCCCTAAGTGGCGGGGAGGGGACCACCTGGGTCGAGGGCAGGACAGGGAGAGGGCCCTGGAGGGAGGGAAAGCCCGGGACAGAGCGAGGCTGACTCAGGCTGCCTTAAGAGTGGTGTGAAGTCCAGGCAAGGGGATCGTGGAGGAGGGGTGACGGCCAGGACGGGCCCTGGGCGGAGGAGGGGGAGGTCCAGACTTAAGCCCATGGAGGGAAGAGAAGATTCGGGTTGAAGCATGGAAAAGAGGGGAATCGAATCCAGGCTGAGGCCATTGCAGGAGGGGTTCACGGGGGTCTAAACTGAGGCATGGAGAAGGGAGGGGGGCGGACAGAGGCCTAGTCTGGACCATAGGGTGGAGACACTAGCCTGGGCAATGGGGGGGACGACGGCCTAGCCTGGGCCGTAGGGACCAGCGAAGGGGCTCTAGCCTGGGCCAGGGGAAGGAGCGAGGAGGACCAAGCCTGGATCCCCGGAGGGGGTGCCTGGCATGGACCAGAGGTCCAGAAGGGTCTAGCCTGGGCTATGGGGGCGACTAGCCTGGACCCAGAAGTAGAGAGTGGGACTCCAGCTTGAGCCAAGGGCGGGGGCCGGGAGGGGGAGGCAGGGTCGTGCCCACCCAGGCCGCCCTGGCGGCGGCTCCCTCCTCAGCCGCCAGGGATGGTGTCTACCTGCGGGCTGGGACCCCGCCCCTCCCCCACCCGGGGAACCCACCCTTCCCGGGCCGGGGGTCGGCGGGCGGAGGGGGACGCGAGCGCCGGCGGGGTCCCCGGGCTGGGGGAGGGGGACGTCGGGCCTTTACCATGGTGGCGGCGGCGGCGGCGGTCCCGGTCCCGGCGTCTCTGGCTCTCCCCCCCGCAGCAGGGCCCGGCGCTTCCACTTCCCCGGGTGCCCAGGAGTGAACATCCGGGTCAGCGCCCCCCTCCCCCCGCGCCGGGCCGCCGCCACCTTCCTTCCCCGCCCCGGCCCGGCCCGGGCCCGCCCCCCACGCAGCCGGCTTTCGGCCAATGAGCGCGCAGGGCCGCGGCGATCGCCAAGTATGGAGCGCGGCGCGGGGGGCGGGGCGCCGTCGGGGGAGTGGGGGGCGGGGCCTGTGGGGCGGGGCGCGGCGCGGCGGCCGGCAGTGGGCGGGCCGGCAGGGGGTCGCGGGCTGCAGGCGGGTGGTGGGAGGCCCGGGGCCGTGCCCAGGGCCGGGGCCGGGAGTGGCTTTCCCCGCACCCACACCCAACCATCCGCTCTGCAGCTCAGAGACCGTGCCCGCAGGCCTCCCGGTGGGGATGCGGAAGGCACTGGGGCTGGGAGGGGTCAGTCCCTCCCCGCCCCGCCCCGCCCGGTGCACGCGCTCGCTCCTGCGGCGGACCCGGAACTGGAGCGGCCTGCGGGCCCAGCCCAGCCCCGAGAGAGCGGAGGGGGCGAACCTGAGAAGCGCTGTAGCTTGCTGCCTGTGGGAACTGGAGCAAGTCGCTGCATCTGAGCCCGATCTCTAAAAAAGAGCCTCGGGCCACAACACTCTTGAGCACCTACTGTATATCAGGCCTTGTTTGAGGCACCACAAGATAACAGAGGGGGCTGGCCGGTGGCGCGCAGAGGTTAAGTTTGCACCTTCCGCTTGGGCGGCGAGGAGTTCGCCGGGTGGGATCCTGGGTGCAGACCTACGCTCGGCTTGTCAAACCATGCTGTGGTAGGCATCCCACATATAAAGTAAAGGAAGATGGGCACGGATGTTAGCTCAGGACCAGCCTTCCTCAGCAAAAAGAGGAGGATTGGCCAGAACGAAAGCCGACCTGTGGACTCACGTCAGTCTTGGGACCTCTGGAACTGTTAGATAATAAATTTATGTTATTTAAAAAAAAAAGAGAGAGAGAGGATTGGCAGCAGATGTTAGGTCAGGGCTAATCTTCCTCAAAAAAAAAAATAATAATAACAGAGATGAACCAGGCATAAAGATACCCTCAAAGCTACCTGCTACAGATGGCTGTGACAACCACACAGGCAGAGATTAGGAACCTGGGCTCAGTAAATGTTAGGTGTTGTGTTTTTAGATGTGCTGCAGAGAACCAGCCCATTGGCCCAATGGGGCTGCCTCACTCCGCAAAGTGACTCAGAAGTTCTTTTTTTTCTTCATTCGACAAATATTTGTTGAGCTTGGTCTAGAAGGCAGGAGTCCTGAATTGCTAGTCCTGCTAATAATGCCTGCCCTCCCTCGCTGGCTTGCTCCCTTCTCTTGTGAGAATCAAATCAGGTCAAGTGTTAGAGGACTAAACTGTGAAGTCTTGTGCAAATGACAGGAATTATTACCACAAACGAGGCCATGTTCTAGGCCCCTGTCCTCAGGGAGTTGGTAGTCAACTAAAAGGTGCCAGTGACGTAAAAAGTGATAAAGGTTAATCCCACAGGAATGATTCAGACCTATGTTACAGGAATTCAGAGAAGAGAGTGGCACTTAGGAATTCTTTCAGTTGGTAAGTATTTATTGAGCACCTACTGTGTACCAAGCACTGTTCTAGGCTCTAGACATATAGCAGTGAACCAGACAGCCCATGGTGTTGCAGAGCTTGAATGTTGGAGGGGAGACAATCAGCTACTAAGTAAATATAGTGTCAGGTGGTAATTAGAGATGTGGAGGAATGGGCTGGCAGGTTAGCAAAGTGGGGCTGTGTTTTGGAGGGTGGCCCGAGAAGGCCTAACTTAGAAAGTAACATTTGATCAGAGGGAGGGAGCAGGCCATGTGGACAGCAGACGCACAAGGAAGAGCAAGGGCCAAAACGGGATGGGGACAGTCCCTGGTGTGTTCATGGAACAGGGAGACAGAGGTGGCTGGCCCAAATTGAGCAAGAGGAGAGCAGTGGGAGCTGGGATCGAGAAGTGCAGAGCAGGGACAGGCTCTGGCCTGCGCTTTGAAAGGATCGGGAGGCTGCTGTGTTCTGAATGGACTGTAGGGGGACTAGGGCGGTTAGAAAGCTATCTCTGTATTCAAGGCATTTTTTCTTTAGCTAGCAAGCGCTTTTAAGGGGCTTCCCATGTGATAAACACTGTTAAGCACTTTACAAATAATAACTCATTTAATTCTCAGAACAGAGGCCTAAATAGATAAGCCCAAGGTCACACAGCCAAGAGATGAAGGTAGCTTCCACCAGGATAGTAGCATTGGAGGTGGTAAGAAGAGGTCATATTCTGCATATTTGCTGATGGGTTGCTGGTGGGCATGAGAAGAAGAAAGGAGTCAAGGATGATGCTCAGATTTTTAGCTTGATCAATGCTCGAAGGATTTAACCATTTATTGATCTGTGGAAGATTGTGTAGGAGGAGCAGGTGTGTGTGTTGTTGTTGTTTTTAGGGGTCAGGGGATAAGAGTCATTTTGGGGCAAGTTATGCTTGAGATGCCTTTTGCAGATTTGAATGGAGATGTCAAATAAGTAATTGGATATGGAAATCAGGAGCTGGGGAGGAAGTTGGAGCTGGTGATAAATTTATGAGAACTGTCAGCTAATAAATGATATTTTAAGATGCTTAAAAGCACAAAACATCTAGGTGAGCTCACTTAGGAGGTGAATGTAGACAGAAGAGGTCAAGAAGATAAAGAGGAACCAGCAAGGAGACTGAGAGGTGACCTGGGAGGGAGGAAGAGGACCATGAGAAGGCAGCGTCCCTCTGGGAAGCCGAGGGTTAAGGGCATGGGGGAAAGTTTTGTGAAAGAAGGGACGCTTGAATTGTTTACTTGAAAGTAATATTGAAAGGGAGCCTTGTTCAAAATGCATTGCTTACGTTTTCTTGTTTAATCCTCATTACAACCCTATGAGGTCAGTACTAGTATTCCCATTTTACAGACAAGGGAGCTGAGGCACAGAGGGGTTAGGTAACTTGCCCGAGATCACATAGCTAATGAGTTCAAAACCAAGCTGTCTGGGACCAGAGCCCAAACGCATAACCTCAGGTCTGATCACCTTGCTTCCCTGCTCAAAAGCCTTTGAAAGTTGTTACCTCATCATAAGAGGACTCAGGAATGAATCCAGAACTCAGGGACAGGCTGGTCCATCTCTCTCATGCAGCCCCATTTCTGCTTCTTTGGTGCACCTGCTACATTCTTCCTTTCCTGTCTGGCATCCTCAGCCTGCTTATAGCAGGATTCCTTTAACATTTCAGCTTGTGTGGGATCCATCCTGGTGGTCTTTGCCCCCTCTTTATTCTCTGCATCTGCTTGCTCTATTAACTGGCAAATTCTTTTTGTGTTTCATAGTTCAGACCCCAAGACAGAATCCAACTGACCCATCTCATCTTTTAATGCTGACAGCTCATCGGATAGGTCACTGGCCAGTCCACAGATTGGCTGCCCCTAGGTCAGATCGCACCCCTTGACCAGCCAACTATTGCTATGAGCATGGGGGCATGTGGCATTAAACATGGCTGCCTATGAGGGGCTGTGGGTAGACAGACAGGCACCATAAATATTTTTAGTCCTATTTCTCCTCTTTCAAAAATTCAACCCCCTTCAACTTCATACTATCATATTTTTCCACCTGCCACCCCTCCTTTTTGCTCTCAGGAACTGACTCCATCTCCCCTCCTGTACCTTTATGACTTTAGCATCCATTAGTGTAATTCATGAGAAATCTTACTGACCCCTCACTTACTGATTTCTTCCTTGCCAATGAGTTTTCTCTTCCCCTGTCCCCAGGCACCCACTCCCATGGTTTTACCCAGGACTTGCTCACACCAATAATTGCACTATCTCAGAAAATGCAATCACAAAGATCTTAATCTGACTTTAACCTCCTTACTACAGTATCACACACAAGCATTTCTTCAACCTCGTCAAGACTTGCAGACTTTGGACCTGCCAGATTTCCACACTTATCTTCCTTCTCGGGCTCGCTTCTCTCCTTACCAGCTTAGTAATGAGCATTATACTCTCTTCCTGACAAAAACCCATAACCCCTCTGACACTCTCTTTTCTTATAACTTTCCCAACCCTCATTAAGCCAGCTATTCCTCTACTCTCTGCCTGTATTGCTGGGAAATTTACAGTGACTGTTGTCACTTTATGTTGATGTCCACAAATTTTAAATCAGCCCTCAATTCTGCCTATCAATCCTACTATATTTTGCTGCTGTTTTCAATTCCTCACACTCTGCAATGATGATTTTTCAATCTTCTTCCTCCCTTAACCCCTTCTCATCCTTCACTCTAAACAGATGAGCTTGCCTCATACTTCACAGAGATGATAGAATCCATCAGATATGAACCCTCTTGTCCATCTACCAACCACTGCACCTTGCCCATGTTCTCTGCCCTCCCCGCTTTTGAATGAAGGGTTTGCGCACCTATTAGAGCCAACCCCCTTGCCTGTACCTGGACCCCTCTCTCCTTAGTCATCAGTTTCTCCTTCTATACCAGATCATTCCCACCTGCTTAAGATAACGTGCCCCAGTATCCCGTATCCTAAAAACAAAGTTTGAACAACAAAAATCGCCTTGATCCCACATCTCCGTCCAGCCACCTCCCTCATTTTTTTGCTCCCCTTCACGTCAAAACTTTGTGAGTTCTCTGCAGTTGCTGTTTGCACATCAACTCCAATTTCTCCTCAGATCAGTCTGGGTCAGGCTCCTGCCTCCACCTGTCGATCTGGAAACTCCATGTTTCAGAAGCCAATGATCCCTTCGGGGCTTCATCTTACTGCTGACCTCTCGGTGTTTGCTACAGTTGGCCACTCTCCTCTCTGATGCGCCTCTCTTGGCTTTCATGATAGCACTTTCTCTCAGTGCTCAGATGTCCTCTGAGTCCCCTTTGGTGGCTCCTCTTCCTTTTCTGAGGACTGCATTCTCTTTTGTATCTAAACGCTCTTTTGGTCACTATGGGTCTTCAGCACCTAGAACATAATAGCTGCTCAGTGAAGGTCTGTGAAATAAGACAATATCAACATCATAGGATTATTGTGTAAATAAGTGGACAAAGAATGAATAATAAAGTAATGGCAACTTTCAATTGAGTGCTTACTATATGCTAAACAATTTTCCTGTATTATCTTATTATTCTTCCCGACAGTCTTTTGAGCTAGGATCTTCTATTATTACCTTTTTTTTTTTTTTTTTGAGGCAGATCAGCCCTGAGCTAACATCTGAGGCCAATCCTCCTCTTTTTGCTGAGGAAGACTAGCCCTGAGCTAACATCCGTGCCCATCTTCCTCTACTTTATATATGGGATGCCTACCATAGCATGGCTTGCCAAGTGGTGCCATGTCTGCCCCTGGGATCTGAAGCAGCGAACCCCTGGCCGCCAAAGCAGAACGTGTGCACTTAACCGCTGTGCCACCAGGCCAGCCCCCCTATTATTACCATTTTATAGAAGAGGACGTTGAGTCTTAGAGGAAATGACTTGCCTAAGGTCACACAGATAAGTGGATGAATCCATCCTCACTTTGGTCTTTCTGACTCAAAGACTATTCTCAGAACCACTAAATTGCGATCATGTGTAGGAAAGTGCTTTGTAAACAGCGAAAGACAATGCAACTACACACCCGCACATAGTGTGGCAACTTACATAGTAGGTGCCTGCAGTATTTGCTGAATTGAGGTAGGGTGGAAGGGAGCCACAAGCTAAACAGTACCATCACCTGAGGAAAGAAAAAGCAGTCTTGAGGACCCTAGAGAAACAGCCTTCCACTAAATGCTGAATTTTTTGTGGTGCTCGTCAGCTAGTACAGGACACTTTAAAGTAGGCATTACCCAGAAGTTTGCCCAAGTGGTTTCTCTCTTTCCCTCTTCAATTTTAAGTCCCCACAGCTGTTGGGACTGTTGGGTTAACAAATGCACAATTATCCCATGGGGCTGGGGATTGCCTAGCTCCTAAATCACCCCTGATTTAACAGGCCTGGGCCTGCTTCCTGAATTGGGGATCTTCAGGGATTACTAACAGTGGTTTTAGATGTTTCATTGTGTCTTTGGAGATGCAAGAGAACCCTAGAATTAGCCAGCTTTTAACTCCTTGCTGCACTGAATTCTACAGACAAGGGGTTTAAAGCATATTCCTTGAACATTCTAACTCCATATGCTAAAGTTGCAGTGGGATTCAATTTAAGGATCTTTGTTATCAAGAAGACCAGGAGGGAAGGAACACCACGTGGAAATTCCATCTTCCCCATCACTCGGCTGGTTTAAAGGTCCCTTCTGGACTGTGTCCCATGTATGCATATCCTCTCTTTCCTACAACTTATCCATTCCGTGTTCTCAGGTACTTAGTTTGGGTGTAGCTGAGCCTATCTCTGGCTCCAGAGAAGATCCAGATTGGCTGAAGCTAAAGTACAGCCTTGGCCAGACTAATTAGTTTGGGGATGGGCTCTTGACTCAATTTGGGCTACAGTGCTTTCTGCAGAACACTAATCAAAATAAACTCTGCATGAAGTGGGGGATGGTCCATGAGGTAAGTTTGGGAAATGCTGTAAACAATATTCCCTCTTGGGGATTCTGTGTTCTTACACTTCAATTATCCCGTCTCTCCCCAGATTGTTCAACTGCTCCCTCTCAGCTAGATGATTGCTGTGGCTTTAAACATGCTTAAGTGTCTTAAATCTTGCATAAAAAAAAAAAAAGAAAAAATCTACATGAATCCCACACTCCCTCTAGCCTACCATCCCATCTCCTGCCTTTCGCAACTACAAAATTGTCAGTATTTCCTCTCCCCGCTTCCTGACTTCCCATTCTATTCTGTCACTCCTCCACTGAAATGACCCTAAGGTCACCCATACCTCTGTGTTAAAACCACATGGCTGTTTGTCAATCCTCATCTCCTTTGATTTCCCAGTAGCATTTGACACTGTTGGCTCTTTCCTCCTCCTTGAAGTACCCTTCTTCCACTGGCTTCCGTGACATCACATGACTCTCCTGGTCTTAAGCCTAGCTCTGTGACTGCCCCTTCTCCCTGTCTTCTGCAGACTCATTCTCTTCTATACAACCACTAAATGATGGGGTTTCTTGAGGCTAAGTTGCGGGCTCTCTCCTCTTACTTTGTTCTCTCTTCTTAGACAATCTCGTCCATGCTCATGGCTTCAGTTACCAGCAGGCCTCAGTCAGGAGCCCACCCCCGGAGCAGAGAGGGATGGGGACCTGATAATGGGGGAGGGGAACTGTTTCCCTAATAATAGGGGGAAATCAGGGTACTATTACCAAAAGAAGGAGAAAGGGATGCTGAAGAGTAGAAAAACAAAAACCAGATGATTGCTACGGGCATGCATTCTGGGTAAGCTCATGTAAATGAATGACACAGGCTCCTTTCTGGTCTCAGAAATTTCTGGTCATTGGAACCCTAAGGAGGACTGAGTACAGGCCAAAAAAAAAATATGCTGATTTCCTTTGAAGACAGAACACTGTGTGGTTTGTAGAGGAGGCAGCCTTGGCTAGACAGCTTATATCAACTTTTTCCATGCCTCAGCATCCTGAAAGAACATGTAGCAAGAAGAGGGGAGGTAGACAGACCACTAGCAACCCACTTTTTAATACATCCCCAACGTCTTGAGTGCCAAGAGGATACTTCAGTCTGAGGTTAGACACCATCATCTCAGGGCTCTTGTTTTTGCTTTTCTAATAGGTACCTGGGAGAACTCACAACTGCTTTCTGCTGGGCCAGAAGCATTTGTATCCTGACCATCTGTGGGGTCTTGCTCAGAGTTACAGAAAGGCCTCTCACATGTGAGCCAGCTGTTGGAGTTTTGATATGCATGTTTGGGAGAATTCATGTTTAGTTTATGAAGCTGGCCGGCCAGCCGCCCACCAAGCTTTGGATGGCCTCCACAATGTGTCTAAGGCTGACCCTTCAGACTCAGATGAATTGTCACCTCCTCCTCCAAGTAGTGTTCTCTGACAATGGGGCCTCCCGCTCTATGTTCCCAAGGAAACTCTATACTTAGTACGCCTTATAAATCACCTTTTCACTTGTAATTTGCCCCTACTGCTCTCTGTGCTCCTGGAGGCAGGGCCTGTGAGTCATATCACTGGCAATTAGCATAGCACCTAAGATAGGGTACTCTATGAATGAAGCCTGGCGAGTCGTGAGCCAAGGAAACTCCAAGCAAAGTCATCCAGGATGCAAACCTGGGTCACCGTCAATTCCTCCCGAGCTCTCATCCCTCATTCCAATCCAACATTGCACTGTTCTAAGTGAAACCAAACCAGACGCAGAACTGACGTGGGAGCAGAAAAAAGTGGCAGAACTGAGAGACCAGTTTACTGAAAGGCTGGAATGAAAGATCAGAGCAACGAACAATTAGAAAATATTTAAAAATCCATTTACAGTAACCTCAAAAAGCATAAAACATTTCAGAATACACTTAATAAGAAATGTGCAGGTCTCATGTACTCTGAAAACTAGAAAACATTGCTGAGAGAAATTAAAGATCTCAATAAATAGGTGTATTCTGTTCATGGATTGTTCAATATTGTTAGGATGTCCATTCTCCCCCAAATGATCTTTCTATTCAATGCAACGCGATTCAAAATCCTAGCAAGATTTTTTTTTGACAAGCTGATTTTAAAACATATGTGGAAATGCAATGATCTTAGAATCTTGAGAGAGGAAGAAAAAAGTTAGAGGACCTACGCTACCTGATTTTAAGACTTACTATAAAACTGCAGAAATCAAAACAATGTGGCGTTGGTGTAAGGATAGACACATAGATCAATGGAACAGAATAGTCCAAAAATAGACCCCCACGTGTGCGGTCAAATAATTCTTGGCAAAGGTGCCAATGTAATTCAGTGGGGAAAGAAAAGTGTTTTCAATAAATGGTCCTGGAACAACTGAAGATCCATTTAGAAAAAAATGAATCTTGACCCTTACCTCATACCATTTATAAACACTAACTCCAAATGGATCATAGACCTAAACATGAAAGTGAAAACTATAAAACTTCTAGAAGAAGACGTGAGAGAAAATCTCCACAACATTGGGTAGGCAAAGGTTTCTTAGATAGAAAAAAAATTTCTTTAATTGATAAATTATATTTGATTAACAGAAGAAAATTCTGCTTTTCCAAAGATACCACGATTTCTGAGTCATGTAAAACACTATTTAAACTCACACAGGACTTTAAAATTTTTTGAAAGAAAATGTCATTCCACTACATAAGTTTTGACCTTTCTAAATAAATAAACACAAATATCAACTTTATTTTTTATTCAAATGAACCAACGGAGTGCATGGCAGAAGAGGACCTTTATTGAGACTGTTAGCTCCCAGAATAAGGCTAGGCCTGGTGGCCTATTTATCTAAGGCAGTCAATGTCATTGTAGTCAGAAATACTCCAGATCTTTGCCAAAAAGGAAAGCAGAGGTCAAAGCCTTGGAAGTGATGGTGACTATCTGGTCCAGCAGGTAAAGTGACTGTTCATGGGGAAAATGAATCACCAAGTCTAAAGGTAGAGAGACGGGAAGCAAAATGCAAAGAGGGAAAGTGGAGGGCACAATGGGTCAGGGAGATTCACCAAAGAGGCCCAGAGCAATGCCGGTAGTGATGGAGCCCATTTCTAATATTCATTGATGCTGCCTGTTTGACAGCTTAAAAACTGCCAGACAAGATCACACATACTTGATCTAAGATCCTGTAAGGTCTGGCCCAGTTTAAAACCTGTACATGTCAAGAAAACTCTGATTGCCAAAGATTTCTTTCTGTCGGGCACCGTTGCCTGGACAACTACCATTGCATTTCTGTTGGGCTTTACCTGGATGACCATTCATTCTCTTCCCCACACCACCTGTGATTGCTACTGACAAGCTACATGTTCACCTTTTCCATTTCCTCTTCCTGGACACATAGTCTATATTTCCCAGCCTCCTATGAGTTAGGTTGTGGTCTTGTGGCTGGGTTTTGACCAATAGTATGTAGGAGAAGTGACATGTGCCACCTCCAGGCACGGCTGTAAAATGTCCCTTGCGACCTGCACCATCCTCTCTTTGTTCATCAGTCAGATGAATGCAGAAGATCCAAGGGAGAATCCAAGATGGAGGAAGCCTGAATCCCCTTCCAGGACAGTCCACTGAAAACATCCAGTGAGCCTGTGCCTCGGGAAGAGAATAAACCTTTATTGTAGTAAGCCACTAAGAATGAATGTTCTTTGTTTCAGCAGCTGGCGTTATCCTGACTAACACAGCTCTAAAGAGCTCCCTGTGATGGCTTCCAGAAAATGTCTGGGATGATCAGTTTAAGCAGGATTTCCATAAACGTGTGACGGTTCCACAGATATCTCAAGGTAGAGCCATGAGTCTGGACGAAAATCACATGGCTACATGGATGATGAGCCAGGATTTGAATGGAAGTCTGTCTGATCCCAAAGCCAGTGCTCTCTTCACTCCTCACACTGCCCCAAACAAAGAGGTGTTTAGATGTTTTGAGTGATGATGATGATGATAGACTCAACGGTTCTATGTAATTTACTCTCTGGCACATTTGTGCTATAAATTACTGGAGAACTTCCACCACTCCCCACAAGCCAATGGGGTTGAATATAATGACACCCTGTAATCCCCATTTTTGTGTCAACATCATCCCCAGGTGCTCAAAGGAGGGTAGTTAACACTATTATCATTTTTTCCAGCTAGCAATCTAAATGTTTACCAGTTTGGTAAAAGACTTTTGGGACCTTGCCATAAATGCACAGGTCTTCCTTCTCCATCAACTCTTTCCTTCCTAGGTCAACCATCCCAGCCAGAAACTGGGCTCTATGCCTCCCCTAGCTGAATAAATGCATCTTCTTTCTCCCTGCAATGTTAGAAGGGCAGGTGACTGAACATCCATATCCTAGTTTCTACTTCTGTAAAATGGGGGTATGACACCTACCACATACAGTTGCTGTGAGATTTAAATAAGATAAGCAGTAAACTGGTGGCATATAATATGCCATTTGTTTTTATGGATGACCCCCCTCCCCTGCCCCCCACAATCTTCAGGGTTCTTACCAAATATCAAATGATTCTTGATATTTTGTAAATACATTTGCCGGTCTTATTGTGTTGTCCATGTGTTTCATATCTGGTTATGTCAGCCTGGTATATCTTTGACCTTAAACTCCAAATAGGCAGAAACCCACAGTTGCTAAATATGTGTAGGTCCCATGATCATACTCTTCACTCATTACCTTCCAACCATAATAAAAAATCATTGAGCACTTTCTATCTTTGTGAGCTTTATGCTAGGAGGCTCCCAAATAAGACTCTGTTTCTGCCCACAAGGACCATCAGAGAGGTGATTTTAAAAGGCATAGCAGTTTATTATTCTTCTTGAAAATAGCATTTTAAACATCTGACTACAGAAATACATGCTCGTTGTAAAAAATTATAGGTAAAACACCCAGGAAAGAAAACTACCCAAGAAATAATCACTGTTATCTTTTAGAACCTATTCTTCTAATCTTTTTCCTATTGCACATATATACACATTTTACAAAAATGCCATCATACTGTGTACACATTTTTGTAACCTGCTTGAATATTTTACACGTTATTAAAGATTCTCCTCTGGCATAATTTGTTGGGGGTTTTTTGGTGAAGAAGATTGGCCCTGAGCTAACATCTGTTGCCAATCTTCCTCCTTTTTGCTTGAGAAAGATTGTTGCTGAGCTAACATCTGTGCCAATCTTCCTCTATTTTTATATGTGGAATGCCACCAAAGCATGGCCTGATGAGCGATGTGTAGGTCTGTGCCTGGGATCCAAACCCGTAAATCCCAGGCGGCCAAAGCAGAGCACTCAAACTTAACCACTATGCTACTGGGCGGGCCCATGGCATAATTTTTAATGGAGGCTTATTATCCATTGTATGGATAGATCATGATTCTTTTAAAGCAATCTCCTAATGTTGTACAGTTAGATTATTTCCAGTTTTTCACCATTATTAGCAATGAATGTCTTTGTATGTATTCCTCTGCTCACATCCCTAATTATTTTCTTAGAACTCACAAGTAGAAGTCTGCATCAGAGGAAGAGCACATTGTCAAGGCCTTTCCTACCCACTGCCAAGTTTTTGATTAGAAAAGTCATACAAATTCCCAACCCCACCAGCAGCGTATGAGAATGCTATAATAAAGGCTTTTGGCCAAGATGATGATTATGAAAAAAATAAATAATCCAGAAGATAAGTGTTTGCTAAAGGCTCACCCCACGCCAGCTGTGTTTATTTGTTGAATTCTACAGCCATGTTCCTTGGGCCGAACACAGGATCCTTTAGACCCAGTTTATTTAGTGCCTCTTTCAACACCCTGAAATTCTGACCCAAGTTTTATCTGAAGGAAAGGAGATTTTTGGTAAATATGGTTTCCAGTTCAGGAACTCAGCCCAGGCACTTCCATCCCTCGTCCCAGCATGGACCACCTCTGTAGTTTGGACTGCTGAGAATCAGTCAGAAAAGGCTGCTGCTGGCTTGGAACTGAGACCTTAAGTACTTATAAGAAATAAAAGAGCTGTTTGGGGTGAAAAAGTCATGTTCTGAGGTACAAAGAAAAAACCAATAACAACCCAAGAGTTTGGAGTTTCATTTGACCCACTCTGATAATATCGCTATGGTGATGGTCTCCATAAACATTTGCAAAATAACAAGATGAAAAGGCACGAGCGAGTTCCACCCAGGCAAGCTGGAGTTATTTTAGGGATCAAGGCAGTGTCATCTGGGGTAAATATGGAATGCAAAATCCGTTCTTTTAATAACCGTCCCCTGCTTTTGTGAGGCTCAACAAAGGCCCGGCAGACCAGGCGTTTTGTGCTGAAGAAAGCACTGACCCAGCGTCTTCGGGGCGGCGCAGGAAGCACGGCCAAAAGAATGGAAGCGATGGTTAATAACAGATGCCGTGATGATTCTTCTCACACCCCTGGCCTCGGAGCCTGCTGAGCCTGCCGTGGAGTCCAAGGGTGGAACTAGGGTGATGTTTTCGGGAAGGGCTGGCCTGGCTGAGAGGCTGGGGTTGGGCCCCCAGAGAACTGAGCTTGGTTGTCTGCCCCGACCTTGATTCCTGGGCCAGAAGGGGCGGAGGGAAGCATCTTCAAGGCCACAATCTGTCTCTGGGGCATCACCATCTGCTGCGGATGACATCTGCCACTCCCATCCTCATGCTATTCTCTTTGAACCCCTGACTCAGCGAGCCCCAATCTAAAAAAGCAGAACTAGCTATTTTTCACACTAAGAGAAAAATGTCAGGCAGTACACTTGCCGAACTCCTTCCTGACCCTGAAACTCTTAGTCTTTGCACTTAACCCCTTGCTCCTCCCGCTGCCTCTTTGCTCCTTTCTCTTCTAGATGGCTAAGTTGCAAGCTCCACCACCGTCTCTAGTGAAGATCCTGAAGGGAAAGGGTTGTTCTGCAGCCACAGAGTCTGGAATACTGCCTGTTGCACAGAAGGTTCTCCGTAGGTGTCAGCAGATGGGAACTGAATCCAAAATCCCGTGTCCACCCTAAAGTGGCCCTTTCTCCAGCAGGTCTGAGACAACGGCTGCTTGTTTATTCACTCATTCAACAAATATTTATTGAGCACCTACTAGGAGCCAGAACTTCCGTGAGGGACTGGAGCTACGGGGATGGCAAGATCCCAGGGCTCCATCCTGACGGAGACCACCTGCTTGTAGAGCTAATGTCGGAGTGGTGGGCACAGCTGTCATCTTACCACAGAGCTTCATAGAATGACGCTCAACTCCCTCCCTGTTTTGTTTTTCTTCCAAGCACTTATCACCACAGGGCACGTCATATACTTATTTGTCTCGCTTTATCTGTCAGTCTTCCCACACAAAAATGTATCCTCTTTGAGGGTAATTTGTCCCTGGTGTTCCCTGCTGAGTCCCCAGAGCCATGCCGAACCCACAATAGATGCTCAACAGATCTATGTCAAGTCAATGTGTTCAATGAACTCTGCGTTCCTCTACAAGAACCTTCTGGCAGAAACCTCCAGGGAATGAGCCGGGAAGAACTCAGAGGGTCACAACAACAAATTACAATGTCCAAGGCTTTACACTTTACAAAGCAGGGCAGTGCAATGGGGTGAGCATGAACCTTCCCCTCCCAGAGCCCTGCTTTCCTCCTTGTACGGCGGAAGTAATAACATCTGCCTTTGGGGACTGTCGTAACAATTGGATAAACTGAGGCATGTGAATCGCCCAACCGGGGACCTGGTACGGAGTTGGGTTCCATGCCTGGAGAGGAGCACCATTGTTTCTTTATTCTCTGAGCTTCTAAATTCCCTGTGGACATTATTACTATAACCACGTCACCAACGAGGAAAACAGAGCTCGCAGAGGCTTAGTGATTTGCTCACGGTAGCTCTGGCGGGCCTAGAACCTCCGAGAAGGGCAGCATTCCAAATACAGTGTCTTATCTACCAGGCCCCCTGCTGCCGACTCTGGCAGGAAGCTCATCTGACAAATGCCTCCTAATTCTTCCTCTGCTCTCACTTTGACGTTCCCCATTTTCAGTGCGTCACACCACCCATCGCTGTGGGAAGAGAAGAGCTCTGGGGAGAAGCGAGCCTGAGGGGAGGATGGTACATTGATTGCAGGTGTAGGATGAAGCCCCCTCCTGCTCGCCTGCCCAGCCCATTCTGCAGCTTCCGGAAGTACATCCCCCACTTCTCCAATGCCTTAGGGACCCTCGCCCTCCCAGAGGGTTCTGGTCCAATCAAGTGGGATGGGCCCGGAGACTTGTTAGTGTAAACAAATCAGAAATTTCTCAAAATTCAGGGGTCCTCAGAACTTGGACTAGACTATAAAAATAATCATAATTCAAAAAATAATTACAATAGTGTTAGTTATCATTCATTGATCATCTCCTCAGTCCTGGGCAGAGTGGGAGAAAACTTAGAAACACCCAGTCCTGACAATAACCTGGAATGGCAGATATTATTATTCCCATTTTATAGATGAAAAAACTGAGGCCCAGGGAGATGAATGATCTTGTCAGAGGCCATGTAGCTACTAATTGGTGAAGGCCCAGAATTTAAACCCGGGTCTGTCTGCCTTCAAAGCTCGTGCTCCTCTGCTACATAAAAATATGGGGGTGAGGGAAACTTATGTGCACTTGGACACCTATCCCAGCATCACTCAGAAGAAAATTGGAAACATCCTAAAAAATACAAAAACAGGGGGATGGTGATATGAATTATAGTGGGTGTAGCCAGTAGAATATTTTGCAGTTATTAAAAATGACACAAAGAATATGATGATGTAGAAAAGTATTTATGATAAATGGAAGATGTAGGATACAAAATGTATGTCCGTGGAGATTATAATGTATAAATATGCGTATGAAGTATAAACATACATGCGTAAGAGACTGAAAGGAAATATATAAATACGATCATAACTGCGTGGTGGGATTTGGAGGGATTTATTTTCCCCTCTAGCCACTAATCTTTCTGTAATGTGGTTAAATTATTTTGCAATTTACAAATTAAAATTCTAAGGCACTTTCTCAGAAATCCCGTAGCTTTGCACGTAGAGCACGGAAACCAGCATGCATTGTTTTAAGTTGCTAACTGGACAGACGACTTTCCTTTAGCAATTGCTCCAATCCTGGAGATGCCCCTGCTTCCAAGCCATAGCCCTTCCTGCACAAATTCTTGCCCAGCCCAGCACTGGAGATTATTCTCCTTTGCTTCTGTGTCTGTCTGCTAATGCTGTGCTTTAATCTAGAGCCACGCTTGCCAATATGGTGGCTATTGCCACAGGTGGGTATTTAAATCTAAATTTAAATTAATTTAAAGAAAGAAATAATTCAGTTCCTCAGTCTCATTGACCATGTTCCAACTGCTCAATAGCCCCACATGCAGCCAATGGCTACTGACAGCACAGATATAGAATATTTCTATCACAGCAGAAAGTTCCACTAGACAGCATTGATCTAGTATCTAGACTGAAGACAGTTTCTTGAGCTCCAGAGAAAGGATTCCCCAGCCACTTGTCATCCATGGACTGGCTGGACAATGACTTTTCCATCCTAAGATTTTACTCTTTCATCCTTTCTCCAATCTCTGGAGAGTTCAAGGGTCAGGGGAAATTAAGGATGGCCGCTCCCCACTAAAACGTGGGGTCTCCCAATTATAGCTATTTAAATTGCTTTACAGGGTGAAGGTTGATCAGGCAGAGTGGAAAAGTGGGAGGGTTAATTACAGTGTTGTTTTTTATTATAAATGTTATCAAGAGAAGCCATTTATTGATGTCAACTGTATGCTAAGCATTGTATATATTTTGTCTCCACTGATCCTCATAACCCTGTGAAGTGGATCTTACTCCATTATATACCAAGATGAAGACACTGAGGCTCAAAGAAGTAGAGAAACTTGCCCAACTTCGTGAGCCAGAATCCATACCTTCAGATACAAAGTTCATACTCTTTCCATTAGACCAAAATACCTCATGGGGGATTCCAAATCTCATAGAAGGGTTCTGATTGGCCCTGCTTGAGTAACAAGCCTATCCTGGGACCAATCCTGTTGGAAAGAAAGATTGGTACCATGACTGGCCAGGTCTAAGTCATTGTCCACC